AGCCAGAAGATCGATGGCATTATGCTGGAGGAGCATGGAAGCGCCTTCCATGAGACTCTGGAAGAAAGAAATTGCCAATTCGCTCGGGCTGGAAAAACTAACATACATTGCCAAGGGCAAACAGCAGGACTTTGAGAAACTGTGGGAGCCATATGTGAGGACCATGGGGACTGAAGGCAGAACTTATTAATGGACACCTTGAATGGATGTCTTGACTACAGTTTCTATTTATATACTCTCATTATTTTTCTTTATTTCAATTTAAAGGGTTTTGTATGTTTTTGGAACTAAATAAATGCAGGTTTGAAGGGTGAGTGCGTGAGTGAATGTGTGTTCAAGTACATGTTTACAATGTTAAGTTTGTTGTTTGTACGTTTATGTCTTAAAAGAGAAAATTCAATAAAATACTGTATATATAAAAAAGTTTCTGTGCAGCTATTTAGTCGTAAACCTCTTTATCAAACTAGAATAGACCACCCTGGAAGCTGGAGGGGGAGCGGGAAGCTCCTAAAGAGACAGCCTCAAAATGAGTTGAGGGCTGTTACAATAAGGAGGAATTCAGACCAAAGCATTGTAGTTCCACTTCATATAGACTCCAACTTAAGGATTTAAATGTGAAAAAGAAGAATTTAGAAGACTTTTTCTTAACCATATACCACTCCTTTCACACAGCACAGCAGAGGTGGAGTTTTGCATTTTAAGAATAAAAGGTTTTGTAAAGCTTTTGACTCAAACATTTGTTTTATTTCCATTTAGACTATGAGGATTGTTGGTTTACAGCTGCCTTATCTTGTCTTGTCTTCATGTAGGAATAGATGATTAAATGAAATGTGTTGAAATATGTTTGCATACATCACTGCCTCAAACTTTTCTCTGAGGTTTTTCAGTTCAGGTCGAGCTGCAGCCTTTTCTGTTTACAGCCACAAGAGAGCGCTGTGGCTTTACTGAACTGTGTTTCATGTGTTCTGTAGGAAGCACCAGCAGCTCAAACACAACCCAGGCCACAACACCAGGTGAGTGCACGGAGTCAACATCTGCACCCAGTTATAAGTTTCAGTTTTATGTGTAATTC